AAAATGCATTGAAAACGCAACACAAAGAGGTGAACTGGCCCTAATTCACGCCGTTAGTGGAGCAATACCGTCGGCCGTTTTTCATTTACTTTTATCGGTCATGCTGGAAAATCCATGAAAAACTCCCGTTTTTGTGAACATTGGTGGCAGCATCGCTGCCAGCAACGACCGATTTTTCCTTTATCGGCCGAATTTTCGGCCGATAAACGACCCATCTATGGCCTGCATTAGTCAATTTCTTTATCCACAACCAATTTTGTTTAAAAATTATTGGAGAGACAGAGATGAACTAATGGTACTGCTGCATTCCCTGTACAATATTTGGAGATCTGTATTTCAGAAAAGGATCGATGGGTCTCTGGAGGTCTGATTTTAAGATAACACTTTAGGTTATATGAAACTAATTTTAACATAAAAATAAAAAGTGTTGCACTACTACCAGAATTAAAATTAACCAACAGTGAAATAAATCAAAGGTGCATAATAATTCACACAACTGTGAATTAAAGTCCACCGTAAACACACAAACATTCCTTTCAACATCCCCTTTCTGCACAAGTGTCTAAATGTGATGAACCTCCTCAGAACATGAAAAACACCACATATGTGTTCCTCCACCAGGTTCCACACCAAAAGGCTTCCTCTTCTCTAAACCAGATTGGTATAAGGCTACGTTCACACTAGGCTTGTTAGCAAGCGGCAGACAGGCATTTGGGAAGCGTTTTTACCGTTTCCCAAACGCCTGGGAAAATTCTGCACATTGCAGCACATAGTGCTGTTCAAACGGAAGCGTTAGCATCGCATTGCGTTGCGTCACGGCAAAACGGACGCCTCTGGTTGAGTCAGGAGGAGTTGAAGCCTCCTATTCAAGTCTATGGTGCCGCTCCGCAAACGCCCGGCCGGCGTTTGCGGGCAGTTGCGACGCGGTTGCGAGGCGTTTGCGGAGCGGTAACACCATTCAAACTTCATTATAGGCGTTTGTGGGGCATTTTTAATGCTTGGCAAACGCCTAGCAACCGCCGCTAAACCGCACCTAGCAACCGCTGCTAAACCGCGCATGCGGCATTTGCGAAGCGTTAAAAACGCTCTGCAAACGCCGGACCAATGCTTGTCAAACGCTATAGGGGCGTTTGGCAAGAGTTGGAAAAACAGTCAAGTGTGAACGAGCCCTTAGTCATGCCAAACACAGTCATGCGCTTGGAAGGTGTCACCACTCCCCTCGGGTATGGATGTCCCCTCTGATTCACTGAAGTATACATGGGAAGACGAAAAACAAAGTGCATCACATTAAAATCAATAAAACCATTCACATACAAATAAAACACATCAGTGCTGGGGTAGCGTGGGCCGCTTCCCGGTGCGTGGTGGTGATGTCACGAATGTTGGCTCCGCCCTACATGTTTTGCCCTGGCAGGCGTCATTAACGAAAACATTTAGAAATAGACCCCAGTTTCGGCTTATTATTATTTCAGGTACTTATATAGCGCCATCAATTTATGCAGCGCTTTACATATATATATTGTACATTCACATCAGTCCCTAACCCTCAAGGGGCATACAATCTAAGGTGGCTTATGACTTTGTTCCCCATGTAGCGCTCACCCCCGAAGGAGCAGCTGGAATTAACAGGCACTTCTGTCCTTACTTCGGTGATGAACCATATATATATATATATTGGATCCACAGCACACCAGTACACCTTGTGGGAAGTTTTATATATAGGTTTAATAAGAGAGGTAAAACTCTGCAAATAGACTGCAAATTAACTGGGAAAAATAGCAGTTAAATGCACTGAATACACAAACATTCTAGAATTGGCACACTAACATCAATAAACACAATATTCATGTATATACGTATATACCGGTATAGCTATAGATCAGTATTACCCCCCTGCAACTACAGCAGCAATATGTCCCCTGCTAAACCGATGTCTCTTTAGGCTCAGTCCCAAATTCACTTGTATACTGTAGGGTTGTAACACTGTGTGAGTCTATGTGTTGCACAGGCCTGTGTTAGTGAATTGTTGGAATGCTCTTAACCATTTCAATACCGGCAATTTTACACCTTCCTGCCCAGGCCAGTTTTCAGGTTTCAGCGCTCTCACACTTTGAATGACAATTGCGCGGTCATACAACATTGTACCCAAACTAAAATTTGATCATTTTCTTCACACAACTAGAGCTTTCTTTTGGTGGTATTTAATCACCACTGGGGTTTTTATTTTTTGCTAAATTAACAACAAAAAGACCAAAAATTTTGAAAAAAAAACATTTTTCTTTGTTTCTGTTATAAAAGTTTACAAATAAATAATTGTTCTTCATAAATTTAGGCCGAGATGTATTCTGCTACATGTCTTTGGTGAAAATAACCGAAATTAGGATATATTTTTTAGTTTGTAGGAAAGTTATAGAGTTCACAAACTATGGTATAGATCTGAATATTGATCAATCCTGAAGTACTGACAGCCAATCTAATATCTTGAGGTCCAAGAATGTCAGAACAGTACAGATATCCCCCAAATGACCCCTTTTTGCAGAGTAGACAGTCCGACGTACTTCATAAGAGGCATGGCGAGTTTTTTGAAGTTGTATTTTTTGGTCATAATTTTTCGGAAAATGAAAAAATTAAAAAAATTATTTTCACAATTTTTTTTTTTACATACTGTCACCAGTGCAGTACAGCGTCATCATATAACTGGCATGGAGGTGAACAGCGACACTGACTGGTGACAGTATGAAAAAAAAATATATATATATTTTTTTTAATTTTTTTTTAATTTTTTTATTATATTTAATTTTTTATTACATTTTTTTTTATTTTTTTTAAGATTTTTTTTCATATTTTACTATGACCAAAATAGTACAATGTTACCATAGTAACACTGTACTACTTTGGGGAAGTGATCAGTATTTTTTTTTTTTTTTTTTTTTACACAATTTGCTTATAGCAAAGAATTACTTTGCTATAAGCAAGCATTTACCTGAATGAAATCAATTCATTCAGCTTTTTTTTTTTTTTTTTTTTTTTTTTTGTGCTTAGCTGTGATTTGGTCACAGCTAATCACATGACATGTGCATGTGATTAGCTGTGACCATTCACAGCTAGGCACTAGTATACAATGGATGGCATCATGAATGAAGCCATCCATTGTATACAACTGTCATGTGACCTGCTGTGATTGGTCACAGCAGGTCACATGGTACGGCAACGGGAGCCGGTACTCGGATCTGTCATCGGCCGTGTCCGAGGTGCACGGGCGGTGACAGATCGCACTGCTGCGTCGCTCTGCAACCGCGCAAACCGCGCATGTGCGGGAGCACGCCAAATGGCGTGCACCCGGAAAGCTGCAGCGCTTTTCAAGCCGCCAAACGGCCATTGGCCGGGCGGCTAATGGTTAAGGACTGACATGTCACTGGTTAGCAGTTGCTCACCACATCCAAGATGAACAGTCTCCAGGGGTTAACTCCTTGAAGGGATGATGAATGGGGCTCTGTCTCTCTTCTAGTTTTTTCTTGTTGTCAATTGTCGGTGCTGCACAATCTCTGAGGTGCCTCACCTGTGATGGTCACACGCCTCCTCTGCAATTTCCAACACTCTGACCTCTCTCTCTGCGGTGGGAGATGTCGTTGCTGTCGGTAACTGCCGCCCGCGGGTAACTGGTACCAATGATCATAGTTGCTCCTGACTTCAGCTACTGTAGATAACCGTTGTATTTAGCAACCTCTGCTGTTCTGGAAACAGTGTCAGTGTACTTCAACAGTAGGGGCTGCAGACTAGCTCACACGTCTCTGCAAAGGCACAAGTGGCTCTCCTCTCCCTCCTCCTTGGAAAGTATCCTGGTCACTGTAGTCCTGTGCAGTATAAAGTTACATTGTCTGCCTTTCTGATGAAACTGCAACTCCCACAAACACTCCAGTACTGCTGACAGCTGAGCCAATCAAACCCTTTCTGACAGCATGCAGTCTTAAAAGGGAAACAGTTCTTTAAAAGGGAAACAGCATTGACCCCGCTACACCCATAAATATTTTTATTGAATTTTCATATAAAAGTACTAGTAACAAAAAAGACAGTACAGCATGTACAGGTTTGTATTTAGTATAACTAGATGTAATAAAGGGTCTTGCTAAGACGTTCATAGAAGTATACACAGCTTAACCATTAATGGGGATGATATAACAGACAAAATAAAATAAGCAAAACAAAAAATTCACCATATGTTGTTTAGCTTATCATAAATTTGTATAGTGCTCAACTTTTTGAAAAAAAAACCCATTTGTTCATAAAAATATGAGTAAGCCAGTAAAAAAAAACATAATAAAAGACACAACAGAAAGTGAAAGAGGAAATACCATTTAGCACGGCTTTTTTTCAGTGGGAATGCAGTTCCAGAACCTCCAGCACTGAATGTATTTAATGGCAAGGGATGCTGGGGTGTGCATAGCGGTCCATTGATGTTAGTTGCTTGGGAACTATTGTCCCTGGGGAGGGGGATCTATTGTTAAAGGAGGGGTCTATCATTGATGGGAGTGATCTACTATTGAGGGAGGGGTCTATTATTGTTGGCTGCTGGGAGATCTATTGTTGCTGGAGGGGTATTTTGTTTCGGAGGGGGGGTGTCTATTGTTCCTGGGGAGGGATCTATTGTTGCTGGGGGGTGTATTGTTGTTGGCTGCAGGGGATGTCTTTTGTACTGCTTTTCTTGTGATCATTAACAAATTCCATACAAATTACTCCACAACATGATACATGGTTCTGTTTTCTCTAAAAGGGGCAGTACTGGGAGGTGCGTAGAGGGTGGAAACAAAGGATGATGCTCAGAGGTGGGTAGGGGGCAGATACAAGGGGTGACTCGGAATTAGGGGGTTTTACCGGCACCTATTCTCTGCGAATAAAAATCCCTGCCTTTTAGTCTATTGTCACCTTAAAGTGTTACTAAACCCAGGACCCTGCATTTACTATATCTGGTCTCTCACAGTACAGAGAACATGGAAATGCAATTATTTTAGTAAATATAAACTGCTAAATACCTTTTCTCATCAGCAGTTAGAGAAGTCTTGTGACTTCTATCAGTGTTCAGCTGAGCACTGGTTAAAGCTTGCTGGAGGAGTTTTCTTTCTGCTCTAGGAGGATGCAGAACCCCTGACCTCTGTCTGGACATGCTGATTGGCCCTGTGCTGATCACATGCACTCTCCCAAGAAAAAAGAAAACCTCTTTAGCACACACCAAACTGAGCATGTGCATGTGGCTACGGATTCAGTCTGTATCAGGTGGTCTTTTCAACAAGAGGAGGATCAGAGAAGACAGGATCAAAGAGCCTTTTTACACAATGCAGAGGATTAATCCCTTAGCTTCCACAGTTAGTGTAACAAACATGCTTTACTGCATATACAGACTGATTTTACTGTTGTGGGTTTAGTCTTGTGACTTCTATCAGTGTTCAGCTGAGCACTGGTTAAAGCTTGTTGGAGGAGTTTTCTTTCTGCTCTAGAAGGATGCAGAACCCCTGACCTCTGTCTGGACAGTGCTGATTGGCCCTGTGCTGATCACATGCACTCTTCCAAGAAAAAGAAAACCTCTCTAGCAATACACACTAAACTGAGCATGTGCAGAGTGTCTCCACAGGATATGTCTTATCAGGAGATAAGAGGGGGACACTGGAAGAAGGGGAGGATCAGAGAAGTCAGGATCAAATAGCCTTTTTAAACAATGCAAAGGTTTAACCCTTTAGGTTCCACAGTGAGTATAACTAGCATGCCTAACTGCATATACAGACTGATTTTACTGTTGTGGGTTTAGCAAGACTTTAACAGATGTCCCCATTGGAAGATTTCCTCTCTATTCCTGTCCTTTTCTGGTGGTCACCAGAACAAATGTTGATACTGAATTTCCCCAAAGGGGACACAGATAAAGATATAAAGACCTCTCTCTCCTGGTTCTCGTCCTATCTATCCCAACGCTCCTTCAGTGTCACCTACAATGGTGCCACCTCCCCTTCTCTCCCCCTCTCTGTTGGGGTCCCCCAGGGCTCTGTCCTTGGACCCCTTCTCTTCTCCATCTACACCTCCTCCCTTGGCAAACTCATACACTCCCACGGCTTCAATTACCACCTCTATGCTGATGATACTCAAATCTACCTATCCACCCCTCACCTCACCCCCACATTCTCCGCCCGCATCACTCACCTCCTAAACGACATCTCTGACTGGATGTCGCTCAATTTCCTCAAACTCAACCTCTCCAAAACCGAGCTTCTCATCTTCCCCCCCAGCCCGCGCCCCCCCCCCCCATCCTTTCCATCACTACCAACAACACCACCATCAATCCCGCCCAGCAAGCCAAGGTCCTTGGCGTCATTCTGGACTCAAACCTTTCCTTTCAACCTCATATCAAATCTCTCACAAACACATGCAGGCTCCACCTCCGGAACATCGCCAAGATACGCTCCTTCCTTACCCCAGACACCACTAAACTACTAGTACACTCCCTGATTATCTCACGCCTGGACTACTGCAACTCCCTCCTCACCGGCCTACCCCAGTGCAGGCTCTCCCCGCTTCAGACCATCCTGAACTCAGCGGCCAGACTCATCCACCTCACCAGCCGCTCCACCTCTGCCACCCCCCCTCTGCCTCTCCCTCCACTGGCTCCCCATTGCCCAACGCATTAAATTCAAATTGCTCACCCTGACCTATAAGGCCATTCACAACACTGCCCCTAACTACCTCACCGATCTGATCCCCAGGTACCACCCTATCCATACCCTTCGCTCTTCACAGGACCTTCTTCTATCTTGCTCCCTGGTCTCCTCCTCCCACGCACGACTGCAAGACTTCTCCAGGTCCTCCCCCATCCTCTGGAACTCACTACCCCAATCCATCAGACTGTCACCGTCCCTCCTCACCCTCAGGCGCTCCCTGAAAACCCACCTCTTCAGGGAAGCCTACCCCACCCTCACCTAACAGCCGCTGCCCTTCCCTCCTCCTACCACTTCATCCCCCACAGCCGCTTCCTCCGGTGCCTCTACCCCCTCCCTCCTAGATTGTAAGCTCGAAAGAGTAGGGCCCTCTTACCCCTTGTGTACTGTTTGATGTTACTGTTCTGTTTCATGTATTGTCCCCCCCCTATTGTACAGCGCTGAGCAAACCCTTTGGCGCTATATAAACACGATAAATAAATAAATAAATAAGACCTGACAATTTCAATTCTCCTGCACAATATCCAAAACAGAGAAAGGAGTTTTGATCCTTAGTATACATTATATTTGCTTGCTCTTAGAATTGCTATCCTAAAATCAAGCCAAGTCATAGAAAATCATGTTTCCTTGGTCTACTCATTGTCTGTTGTCTGTGTTTCATCTTGTCCTTCAGGTGTCAGCCAATTCCACTGCAGCCCTGTACAGCCAGTGACATATGACAGATGTGTGTCATGTAGATACCTGCCGCTGGCAGCTCTCGGTAACAATCCGCAGCTGATAGCTTTCGGGGTAGTTCCGTTGTTTTAAAGATTCCAGAAATAAGGATTCCAGTAGTTATAAATGAAATGTTTTTGGAGACTGATCATGTTAGCTTGGTAACATAGATAAAGAATTGAAAATATACAAAGAGCTTCCAAAATAATCAGCTTTTTGTAAAAATAAAACTGACTTTATCAGAGAACCACAAAATTATATTCCGGTAAATGTACGGAATGAATACCTGTAATTATGATATTCAGTATATTATTATTTTTTTATTTCACGTGCTTTTTTTTTTTCCTCTGCACATTTACAGACACACTATAACACAGCCAAGGGTGCTTTATTAGCATCTGTATTTTTTACGATTAAAGATTTTTTCACCTTTGAAAAAAAATAATAAAAAAACACTGTTTTTGCAGGAAATACAGATATGCATTTATTTATTTTTTTTTACAGGAGCCTGCAAAAGTATTGCATCTGCAATCTGAAGAACCCCTGCCCACTGTTATGAGGTGGGGGCAGATTGAGGGCGGGAGGGGGACATTTGTACCATGTTCCACCCCAAATATGGTCATATGTGCAAAATGTGAACTTAGCTTTTAAGGGCTCATATAATTCCAGTAACGTGCATTAAAAAGCATGGTTTACTGCAATGCACAGGAGAGCACAAACCTAAGTATGGGGTGCCATTCATTACATCTAATTACATCTAATTTGGCCAAATACTCACCTGAATCTAAGCTCACATAGATGTGCCAGGTCCCAAATCTTCTTTTTCTGTATGGTGGGAGGTGATGCAGTCATTTCCCATTGGGGCCCTCACAGGTTCCAAACAATTCAGCGGTAGCGTAATGATGTCACATCAACATGATCAGTTTGGAGCTTGTGCAGGGTGGGAGGGATAGGCGGGAAGGGGCAAAGTTTGCCTGGAGATGAGCTTTAAATGGCTCCTGAGGATGGCCAAAGCTCCTTTCAACTATCCTGGACCTGTTCATGTACCAAATAATGGTCCCTGGTTAGTCTCATATTTTTTTTTTTTCACAGAAATAAAAAGACTGAAACAAGTCAACCTTAGAGTGACAGTACACAAACAATCAAAAGAAGAAAAAAAAACACAAATGCAAAGAACACAAAAAATACAAAGAACACAAAAAACACAGCATTAACCACTTGACCTCCAGAGGATTTACCCCCCCTTAATGACCAGGCTCTTTTTGCTACTCGCGCTGCACTAATTCAACTGATAATTGCGCGGTCATACAATGCTGCACCCAAACAAAATTTACGTCCTTTTTTTCACACAAATAGAGCTATCTTTCGGTGGTATTTGATCACATGTGCGCTTTTTATTTTTCACGCAATAAACAAAAAAAGACCAAAAATTTTGAAGAAAAACAATATTTTTTACTTTCAGCTATAAAAATGTATAGTAAACTCAAAATTAGATATAAATGTAGGCCAAAATGTATTCTACTACATATTTTTGGTAAAAAAAAAATCCCAATAAGTGTTTATTGATTGCTTTTTGTGAACGTTATAGCGTCTACAAACTATGGTATAGATACTGCAATTTACGCCATTTTTTTGCTATACAGCGCTGCGCTAGTTTAACGGACAATTGCGCGGTCATGCAATACGGTACATAAATGAAATTTATGTCCTTTTTTTCACGGTTTTTATTTTTTGCGCTATAAAAAAAAAAGGCTGACAATTTTGAGGAGAAAAAAAACAATATTTTGGACTTTTTGCTATAAAACATGTCCAGTAAAAAAAAATTTAAAAAACAAATTTAGTCATAAATTTCTGCCAAAATGCATTCTGCGACATCTTTGCTAAAAAAAAAACCCAATACGTGTAAATTACTTGGTTTACGTGAAAGTTATAGCGTTTACAAATAGCGGGAATGATACTGGGATTTTTAGTTTTTTTTTATACTAATAATGGTGGCGATCAGTGACTTATGGCGGCGATCAGCGACTTATGGTGGGACTGCGGGACTACGGCGGACATTCTGACATTGGGGAGTACTGACATCCCAGTGACACCAATACAGTGATCAGTGCAAAAAACAAAACACTGACACTGTACTAATGGCACTGGGGAGGAAGGGGTTAAGTTTATTATTCAGGGAAAGGGTTAACTGTGTGAGGGGAGTGTTTTACTAGGGGGCGGGGGTGTGTACTGCAGGGAACACCGCTGATCTGGAGAGAGAAACTCTTCTGTCCCGATCAGCGTGTCCTGGAGCTGTCAGGGAACTGACAGAAAGTACAGCTACTGCAGCTGTGCTCTCTGTCAGCGATTGCCGCCTATCGCCGGGACATAGCCGGTAACAACCGGCTGTGACCCAGCAACTGACATCCGCGGCTGTGATCGGTGGGACAGGAAGGGCAGCGGCGCGCCTTGCGCGCGACGCCTACCTGTTTTCAAAACACACGTATTAAAACGTGCTTTTGCCCAGCCGTGCCGCCCTGCCGCCGTATTTATACAGTGGCTGGGCGGCATGTGGTTAAAATAAAGTAGAAAATATTGAATTTTTTTCGAGCAAATTTCACCTGAGCAGCTCAATGGGCAAAACTGGCATTTTATTCAGAAATAGAAATGAGTCTGGTGAAATTTTGTTGTGAAATTAATTTTTCCAAAACCACTCGTCCCTATTGGTCACAGAGATGTCCAGAATTCTATGAAATTATTAAAAAATAAATTGCATATGGCTGTATCTTCTAAGAGTGGTGTGTTGTTTTTTTAAAACTTGTATACTACCCAGTTATTGCTGTGTGATGCTGGAGATTGTGCCAGAAACTGGGTCTACATACGTTTTTTGAACTATTTAAGTTTATCATATAAAGAGTATTGTGCCGGTAAAGTCCCATCCAAAAAGAGGACTCCCCCCTTTGTATTCTTCGGGGATGTTGGCACCCTGTGTATTACATCCCTTTCTCCCTTCATTGGTCTACTCGTTAATACAAGGCTGGCCAATATGTATATTGCAAACCTGCTTAAACTGTATGTCAAGCAAAGATGAAGTACATCTCTGCAATAGTTGCACATTTCCTTGTGTGTGTTTTATAATCCTTTAAAGTAGAACTAAAGCTAAAGTTTTGTTTTCCATGTTAGATAGAGTTATGCAAGCCATACCTGGTTCGAATTCTGAGCGATTTTTCATCCGAAAATCGAAAACGTTCGCTCGGTAATCCGATGGTGCCATCAATGATTTAGAAAATCAGCCGACCAAGTCAGAAAC